GGTTAACGACAGCTTAGATTTAGGACGTCTGGTTATTTTAGCTAATGGAATCTGGGGTTAGGTCTGGAGTGCCAAGTTATTTTTTTTATAGCAGGGCCACATGGCAATAGAACTTGAGGTTGGGTTTAGGACTGCAGGCCTTTTCCTTTTAAGGATGACCGTGCTCATGGACATGCTTTTGTCTACTTCGACAAACTATTTGGGGGAAACTAAGGTTAGGTTAATTCGACTCCAGGATGTCTTAATAATGAAAATTTGACCCTGTTACACGCAGTTTGTGGTTGGGTCTCTGACGCCAAGTCCCACCTTAATGGAAGACGCTGCTTGAGCACATTGAATGAGACATCGTGGGATGTAAGATGGTTTAGTTTATTGATATTGATATAAAAATGTAGGGGGAGTACGGAAACTGCTGGTTCGTATATATATTCTCTCAATTTATGGCGATGCTTCTTTTCTAAGTTGATATTTATATTCGTGTAAAAGAAGGAACATCTGCTGAAATTATTATTAAAAAACAATACATAATCATGACATACTGAAAAAAAAAATAAAAATTTGTTCGATCTGATCGATGAAATTCATATTTTGCTTCTATGAATTCAAAGCGACCGACTGTTTTTCAAAACATATTCATTTTCATACGCTCCTCGGCAGTCTTTTTTGAGGCAGGAATTTCAGTAGATCTCATGTATGAATAAAACTTCATACGCATGCATACCTGCCTTTAATTAAATTTGAATATTCTACCTGATCACATGGGAGCCAGAGGGATAGGGCGAGGCTTTTCGCGCGAATCGGAATCCAGCTTGTATGAATTTCGAGGCTTGACTCCTGTTTCGCATGAATGTCATGGTGTGGAATATCGAGGAATGACACAGCTAGGTATGAATGTCAAGGTGTGACTCCAGTTAGGAATGAATTTCGAGGTATGATTACAGCTTTGTATAAATGTCGAGATATGGAATATAGAGGAATGACACAGCTAGGTATGAGTGTCATGGTGTGACTCCAGTTAGGAAAGAATTTCGAGGTACGAGTACAGCTTTGTATGAATGTCGAGGTATGGAATATCGAAGAATGACACAGCTAGGTATGATTGCCAAAGCGTGACTTCAATTAAGAATAAATTTCCAGGCATGACTCCAGCTTTGTATAGATTTCGAGGAATGAATAAGCTAGGTAAGAACGTCTTGGTGTTACTCCATCACGGTATGACTGTCGAGGTTTGAAATGTCCAGGAATTACTCAGCTAGGTATGATTGTCTTTTTCTCGGTGTCTTTTCATTCATAAATGTCTTTTTCATTAGGAGGCGTGACTCAAAAATCTGGAGGCGTGACTCCAGATTTTTATGAATGTCGAGGGTCTCATTTAGGCATGAATGTCAATGGATGACTTAGCTAAGAATGAATGTTTGTGCGACCAACTTGAACGTGTTTGTGCAACCAACTTGAACTTGATTGTGCGGCCAACTTGAACTTGTTTGTGCGGCCAACTTGAACTTGATTGTGCGACCAACTTGAACTTGATTGTGCGACCATGTTTGTGCGACCAACTTGAACTTGATTGTGCGACCAACTTGAACGTGTTTGTGCGGCCAACTTGAACTGGTTTGTGCGACCAACTTGAACTGGTTTGTGCGACCAACTTGAACTGGTTTGTGCGACCAACTTGAACTTGTTTGTGCGACCAACTTGAATAAAATGAATGATAAATAAATTGATGTTCGTGGAACGGGCATGTTTTGAAGTAGTGTAATATACGTACATGAGTTATGTGACTACTGGAATTGCAGTCGGTTAAAAATTTCTCCTAAACTAACTCTTACAATTTTAAAGTCGCAATAGTGGAATTTCAAACGCGAATAGCTGAAATGTAAAATAGCATTATTTTATATCATCTTATTGCAAAGCTAATAAAAACACGGAGCCATGGTTTAAAAAAAAATTCATGACAATATTAATGAGCAAAGTTTGTGAGGAATTTATAATTAAACATTTGCAATTAAAACCTTTATTAAAACTGAAAGAAAGATTTAGAAATACGGTTTCGTAGGGCCTCTTCACAGCCTGAGAAGTGTGCCAGCGAAGTATGCATTTAGAAGTATGCCAGCGATCGCGTGCAGTAATGTCACATTCGGGTGTCCTTTATTGTAATTTTTGTTGGATATTTATCGGTCTGATTTCCGGCCGTCGATGATCCGGCCATGATTTTTATTTAATGTAGTTGCGTGCGCACACTCACATTGATTGTCACTGGAACACTTCAACTCGGTCGTGATGTTGGCAACCGCGCGGTCGATCAATGCCAGAACCAAAGAAACCTTCATTGTTATCAATGACACAAATGAGTCATTCATAGAAGCCACATGTGAGCTGAACGTTTATTTCCTGGGCAAGAAATTCTCGGACATCCAAAATTCTACCAATTTTTTTCAGAAATGTAAGTCAACTCTAATGACTTTATATGCCGAAGAAAACAACAACCTTTGGTTATAAATTTTACTTTACTGCAATGAGTCAGAAAAAATTCAAACGTGCACTAAGGTTCATAAAATAATCGAATGAACTATATTAGCGCTATAGATAACGAGAAAGATATTTTTGGATATTATAGAGTTGATATTAGCTGAGAAAGCTACACTGAGAGAAATGGGCGGGTCTGGATGACCCACTTTGATGAGTCAAACGCGTCCGAAAATCGATGCACTTTTTTGACTCACTTGCCCCATTTGTGGGTCATACTGACCCATTAAATTTCAAGCATGACTCACTTGGGGCGTTAAATCACTCTGACGCCCAGATGCTAACTATGTATCCATGCTACGGGTGGCGTCATAAGAGATTTGACGTCACAAGTGAGTCATGCCTGGAATTTAATGGGTCAGTATGACCCACAAATGGGGCAAGTAAGTCAAAAAAGTGCATCGATTTTCGGACGCGGTTGACTCATCAAAGTGGGTCATCCAGACCCACCCATTTCTCTCAGTGTAATATCAACTGCAGATGCCGATGAACGAGGAAATTCGAGGTTGATTACATTAAAATTTGTGCTTCTGACGCTTTTGATTGTAAACAAAATATTTCATATAATGAGGTTATATTGTAAAATTAGGCGATCATCAAACTACGGCCTGCAGGTCTAATATGGCCCGCCTCGATAGTTAATTCGCTTCTAACGGATAAATGTATAGATTGCGATTTAAAATTACTGTATGCAACGTTCAAGTCCTGAAGTTTGAATTTTATAGTTTCTGTCCGGCGCTCGTCATTAGTTCAGTTATCCGGCCCTCTTTGAAATAACTTTGATTCGAATTTCGCTTATATCAACATTTGAATCGAAAACATTTCGTCAACTTGAATTTTTTATCAGTTTGCTAAATTCAAAATTTTCATGTACTAAGTCGTAAATAAGCCTGAAGTTCTCTGGGACTATCTGTATATTTTAACCCATCTTAGTGCTCACACCGAGAAGATGCTAGTACGAGAGGAGTCCAACAAAGGGGCATTTGTTCTTCTTCAGTTGAGCTTAAAGTTACTCTTGACTTGTCCAATGTAGGCCCCATGTCAGCTTTGTGCTTTACAAATGAGAAATGTCAATGTTGAGGTGCGGTAATAATAAACAACATTTAATTTGTTTACTAGTTCAATATTAAATAATTCTCAGTGAAAGAAAAATTCAGTCATTAGTGGCTGAGTGACTGACAATAGATGTAGCCTTTCCTTAAATATTTCGTAATAATTATGTTCCAATTTTAAGACGGTAATTGTTATTATGCAGCACACGTAAAATTATCTCTCGCATAGCGTTAGGTGAAAAATTTTGTACACCTCATCTGCATTGAGCACCGCAGTATTAATCGAACCGACGTATAAAAGTTAAGAATTGACCTTTGACGTTACAGTGAATTGTTGCTCTTCGAAATCCAGCTGAATAACGAATGAAAAAATACAGCTGAATCTTAAATTTTACCAGTTGAATAACATTAACAAATACCGTAAGTTGAGATTTCTGAGCAATTACAACTTAGTTGGAATGATAGTTTCGTTAGTTTCTATTAGTTTCGTTGAAAGCCTCTATTGTATTGCAAAAAGATTAGATACAAGCTATCATACGAATATATTGAAGAAAAATTCTTAAGTGCGGATTCAAAAACATGTATGAAATGGATGCACAATATTAAAGCGAAAAATTCTTTGGCAAAAATTAAAATTGCCTGGCACAGGAACTTTTGAAGTCATCATCATGTATTGGTGGCTAAATAAAAACTGAACAGCGACCGGTAGGCCAAATTAACGATTTTAATATCAGAATTTGTCTACATGATATTGGGGATTGGCAATATTTTCATTCATTTGTTTCCTCTGCACAGTATTTTCTACTTGCCGCCCATACTGCTACATTAAATTGTTAAATTTACACGTGATAATTAAAAAAATGATTTTGTGAATAAATGGACATAAACATATTTGTTTGACATAAACAAATGAACATGAACATCATGTACACGTCAACATGGACATTTTTGTTCATGTGCATAAATATAATGTATATGTCTAAGAACATTTTTCCACGACATTTTTTTCTGAAGTATTTGCACTGATGCCGAGTTTTCCAAATTAATGACCAATAATATATCATTTCCTATCACTTTTGGTATCGTAATTTTATGAAGGCTCTCAAAGATGAGATCGTTAATTATTGATTAATAGTTAATTTTTTAATGTCAGTTATAAATTGTTAATTAAACCTTAATTTCTTCACTACAGTGGAAGTCACGATGGGCGGTCCTGTCGAAACTTTCACCGGTGGCTGGTGAGTAAAATCTATAGATATGAATTTTATTAAATCTGTTGTTATTTATTTTATAACTATGACAATATCATGACAGCAATTGAATTAATTGTTTTAATGATGCCAGAATAGTGTGCCCATCATTTGTGTAATTTAAACCATTGATCTCACATTCCCACTCAGTGCACGAGAGAAATTGCTTCACGGTTCCGCACCTCAGACCTTGATTATGATGCTTTATTAGAAAACCATGAATTCAGTCACCCTTTACACAGTCACTTATATACTGAAGACATCGGCGCAACCAACGATTTTTTTGCATCGCATACCTAATCTTATATTATACAATGTGTATTAATTTTTGAAGATGTTTTATCAGGCTTCTAGAATTATACTTTTGCCCCAAGAAGGCTTCATTAATTCAAGTTTTGCCACTTTAACTAACAAAAATACCATTGGTTGATAAATGAAACTTAGATGATTCTGCATGGCAACTATTGCATTTATAAAGATTTTTGGCAGTCCACAGTCTATTGAAGGGATTCATTATATTCTAGTTCATCTGAAGCAGTCGAACATAATTATTGGACAGTTTAAAATGAATGCAATTGCATTCGACTGCACGACATTGTGCTTAGTCATGGTTCACTAAATAGGATACAGTTTCAGATCGAATACGAGTATTGTAGGTTAGCTCTTTCAGATTAACTATTGTTGATGAACTTAACTAATCTCTTAACATTACAGATTTAAATTACTAACATTATTAATGCTGTTATGAAGAAATCTACTACAAATGATGGAAAAATTAACGGAATTACGAATTCGTCCCTTGGATATAGCTTCGTGGACTTTACATTGCATTCACTGACGCTTCCGATACACACAAATATCAGGAGCATATAACATGTGTTATACGAAGTTAAATCGACCATGTTTTATTATACCTCGTCATGCCTGCGTCAATGAGATGCTGTTGCATGATCACGCATACTGCGCTAGACAGCGCAGCAGTGTTCGTACATGTTTAAGATCGCAATACGCACACCCATAAAGCTTCTTATGAAGGCTCGTTGATTAAAATTGATCGTTCGATCGGATTACCGTCTCCTTCTACTTATCTCGAAGGCATCATTATGCACTGTGGGCCAGACGCTGTCTTCCTGGCTATCGTGTGTCTGACTTTGAGGTGAAATTTGACATATTTATGCGGTTGCAGGCATGAAATGCATGATAAGTATTTTTCAAAATGTTATAGCCACGTTAGAGAGAAGAAACTAATTTTTGGCTGAATTTCATGATGAAATAATATTTCAACATGTTGTTGTCACGTTGAAGATCATGTTATAAATTTTAGGCAGCAATAATGACTGCAGCAATAATGTTTCAAAATATTGTTTCCACGCTGAAGATTATGAAATAATTCGGGCTGATAAATGTGATGCAATAATGTTTTTAAAAGTTGTATCCATGTTAAAGATCATGCGCCGATTTTGGGAGTAAAATAATGGTGCAAAATGTTTCTGCATCTTGATTCAACGTTGAATAGAATAGAATAGTGGTGCCTGCGCTGAAGAAATAGGCTTATGGCCTGTTGCCGATTCATGTATTTTTCGTGAGTAAAGTTACAGGAGTTAATAAAACCGAATTTTGACCAAATCTTTTCATAACTGACATTGGTTTGAGATAGCTACTGAACTTATTACCAGGTCAGTAAGGTGCTAGACATATCAAGACTGAACATATGCTCCACATAGCTTTGTTTAGTTTGTTCTTGAATATCATGAAATAATTTTAAGCTGAAATTTTGGCAAAAGTATATTAAAATTTTGTTACTACATTTAAAATAGGGAAAAATTTTTTGATTGATTGTTCGATTAACTAATTTGAATTTTGATTCTACGATTCATGACAACCAATTCACACATCAGCACTCTATTGAATTTATTTATGGCTAAGCGGTGCAGCGAGAGAGTGAGAGAGGGCAAACGGCCCAATTAGGGATGCATTTGAATCATTATCAATTTAAAATAACATCTGATTTATAGCTTTAATGGATTCGGCACGGTAGATAAGGCGTACGTTAAAAATATTGTCTTTTTTACTTGAAATAAAAATTATTCCATCCTCAATAGTTGTATAAATTTTGTTGATAAACATTAATAGTGATACCAGTTTCCTCGATTTGTCTAATCATTATTTGTAGTTGTGTTTATAATGATGTATCGTGGAATGATGACACCATAATTCCACTTGAAAATTCGATGATAAGTGAAATAATTTTTGTTGATTAATTGTTAATTAGTCCCCCTAATAAAATTTTTTGTTCAAGAACATTCTTCTGAATGATTTAACGATACTTTATAATTATCCAAAGAAATAGTAGTTCCATGATATTTTTACAACACTTCTCTTTAACTTCACTTCTTGTTTGTCTGTTTGTCTGTCTGCTACAAATCCTGTAATTAAAATGTAATACACTTCTACTTATCCTATCGATCTGAAATTTTGCACACTTGCGTAAAGTTGGAGACAATGCATGAATCGAATAGCAAAATAAATAATTTTAAGAATACATTTTCTCAATATTAAAAAACTGAAAAATTATTTTGTCAGCCACAAATCTTATAATTGATATTTGACACAATTTTACCTGTCCAATTGATATGAAATTTTGCACACTTATGTGATGGTTGAAGCAATGCATGAATCAATTGACAGAATAAAGAATTTTGAAATAAGTTTAATACATTAAAAATTGAAAATTTTTTTTTTCAATATTCGAAAATAAAACTAGAAATTCATTGTTCATCTGTAACATTGGAAACACTGGATTCTTTAGAAGTGTTGTCGTTAAAAAGTAATTTTTAAACATATATTATTTAATCGTAATTGTCATAAATCTCCTATGACATTTACGAAAAAATGACAATTCCTATGAAAATCTACGTATCTCCTATGATAACCAGCCATTTTCTCGATGCAAAACTCACCCTCTCTCTTTCTGACGGGACCCTGCCATGCTCCCCCAGTGATGATGCCCCTTCAGAAATATAAATGTAGGCGCTGCGTCCAACGGAACACAAGGAATGCATTCAGCTTCCGACGTTTGCTTCGGACAACAAACGCGCCTTTGTTGACGGACAAGCCGACTTTGTGCTCCCATTTTTCCCGGAGACATTACCATAATATCGTCCAACCTACGTGAACGAGATTCAAGTGCTCGGCAGATTAAAGAGTTTCAGATTCCGTGCGGTAGTCGAGTTAACGGAAATGAGATTCGAATAATGAGGAATCCACTTACATTAAGAAAACATTACTGAAGCATCAAACACACCGTCTTGGCTGTTTGTTTTCATGTACTGGAGATCATGGATTGTGCAATAATTAAGGAGACATAATTGTAAAAACTTATATTTCATGTTAAAAATGCTCAAACTTTAAACAACGATACATATGAAACTTTTATGACAAACGAAATGTCATGAAAAATTATTAAACAGACTTTCACATTACACCTAAATTAATCAATAGGCCAAGAAAAACGATAACATAAGTAATCAATGTACAAAATGCATCCTAAACTATCCAAAAAGAAATACACGCATCTGTAGCCGTGAGTTATTTAACATGCAACGTCGCAACACGTCTAGCTGTAATCCGTTCTCTTCTAGGTGTAGTAAACTGTCTTTATCCACTGCATTTAAGATTTAGTTACTAAAAGTTCTACTCACTCACGGCAGTTATTTTCTAATAAATAGCGCGCGGAATATCGCGTCTCTGTACAAAAGTTATAATCTCTGACGAACTCCCTCTACGCACGCTCCGTGCAAAGCAGTAATTTTGTCCATGATAAATACAAGAAGCACGCATCTTTGCCACCAAACCTGAGGCTACAGAAGGCATGTAGCTTTTCTCTTCACGGCATTTCTGCAATTTCCTGTACAGGCTCAGACTCGTCCACCGAGTGGAGCTGAACATAATTTGCCAAATTTCCCCTCATGAATGTTTCATTTACAATTATTTTACTTAAATTTGTTTAACGTCAGGTTCAGTTTTCTCGTGGAATATTTTTAGAAAAAAATGGGTCTAAAAAATTAAACATTTTGCATACAAATCTGCAAATCAAGCGTGTGTCCTTTCAGCTCGCTGTATTGCAAAGAGAATGATGAAGTTTTTTTGAAGATTTTAAATTGAAAATTTCCCACTATAATGCATTACAAGCGTTGTATAATCTTCTTGAATTTCCGTATAATTTATTTTTGGTTAGCGTGTAATCATAGATAATGAGGACCCTAATTCTGTCCTCTATCTGAATAAGCTCATCCGAATTTTGATTCTGGGAAGAGAATGCCAATTATTTTGTGGAAATTTGAGGCTCATTCGCTTGGCGTTCCGTTGCTCTCAAGACAGAAATTTGATTTTACCGTATGTACTATATAATATATAAAAACAGCCTTATTAAGGCGAGTAATCTCTTCATTAACCGCTAAATTTTCCACCTGATGACAACCTCTATAAAGACTGAAAAACTTCCTTTTTGGTTTTCATACAATAGAGTCGCTACAGGGAGCATCTGGGTAAAATAGAAACTTTTTTATTTACTGACGGGTCTTTGTGAAACTTCGTACACATATTTAAAAGAACAAGAAAAGAAAATTTTGTCCTGATGAATTTTTTAGAAAAAGAAAGAAAACGTTAAATGCTTAGATAACGGAAAAAATGAGTCTATTAAAAGTCTATCTCCTTCAATTTTGGTGCTACAACATAGAAATAAATATCATTCGATTCATAAAGAGAATGTCTATCAACTCTAGAACTACTTTTCAATTTTTGTATTTAATTTTTTCGATATGGTTTTTCCCATTTTCTCCTATATTTCACTTCTTCCACCTAATTTTTCCAATGTGTAATCCAAACCATATATACACGTCAGATAAAGGGAATTTTAAAGTTGCCAAATTTTTTACGTTTTTTTACGGATCAAAGGCGTATTTCGGAAATTTTTATTGTTTGGAAGA